TGGATCCATCCATCTCAAATAATGATTGTTGAAAGAAAAAAGAAATCACCAGTCAAATGAAAGTTAATGCTTATTCTATAATATTCCAGAACAAGGACAAATAATAAACCATACATCTTTGCATGTGCAATATTGGTTAATTGGGAATAACATAAGTCCCATGAAACGATAAAAACAAACTTGAGCTACAAAAGCTTGTCCTCACTACTCATCATTCAAATCATTTTCTTCATGGTTTTTCTTAACATCACAGGTACAAACCCTTGCTTCCTTATAAATTCTACCCGCTCTACAAAAGTATCCCTTTTTTGGTGCACAGTGATTATCTTATGAGCAAATATACAACCCTTCTAACACACATCCATCCTTCAATATTGTCACCTCTTCTTCAAGTCCAAGCATTTGGTTTGTCCATTAGCTAAAGAAAAGTCTCTGTGGATTGTACTTCTTTTAACCTTCAAAAATTTGTCTGTATTATGATATTTCTTCATTGCTCCCAAAAATACTATGTTTATGTTTTTAGCCTAGTGAGGTAATCCTCCATATTTAAACAATTCAATTTGCTGTGACGCATGTTGATCAATAGACATGAAGCATGTTGATTGACAACGCTATCGTTCTCTTATGTCTGATACTGCTGCCTTCTTGACACGTATCACAAGGTGGGTGAGTATCAACGAAATGTGGCCGATAGAGTGTAAAATAATAATAAAATAATAGCTATCATCTCTTTTCTTTCGATATTATTATTATTTTTTATTTTTATTTTTTTGTCAATTTTTAATTTTCACGTATCATTAAAGTGGTCGATAGAGTATTAAAAAATAATAAAAATAAAGCTATCATTAGTGCATGACTGAAACTGGTAGTGACATAATAAAATAGCTTCAGAAAGAAAATTAGTTTGAAAGAAATTTTATTTTAAAATTTTTTTAAATATGTATTAATTAAATAAAAAAGTCATTTTTTTCCCTATCTTGCTACCTTCTTTTTCTTTCCCTACAACGGAATTTGCTGAAGCCATTCTCACATCGTCAATCATCGCTTCCTCTCACCAATACATCATATCCATTGCCAGTGTCTCAAATCATTCGATTGCAGTAACAAATAATTCAAGCTGCTATTTGATTAATGCTTTTGACCCTATTGATCTAACTTGGAGAATCAATATATCATTTACTATTTGAAGGACTTCCGCACTTCTATAAATTACAGCTTATGCAATACGATTTTTTTATATGTAAATTAAATTTAGAGTAAAAGAAAGAAGTTAACACATGTCAAGAAAGGCAAACGTCGCGGATTAATCTAATAAATATAAACTTAAAAAAATTACTAAAAAAATATAAAATCTAAATAATTTAATGTTTGGGTAGTTTAAATGCGTAAGTTCAAAATATAAAATTAATTTTACATGTTTAACTAACGAAACTAAAAAGAAAAAAGATAAATTTTGTTATTCAAATTTGCAATATATGTATAGTTTCATACGCATATTTTATTATTTATTTGTTTTGCAAGTTTTGCGTCATTTTAATTCGATTGAACCCGACTCGTGGAGTGAATTTGACCCATAAACTGGAAATTAGTTTCACAACTTTGAAAAAATTGAGTTTGGCCCACCAATGCAGCATACATCTTAGATGTGCTATTCATATGAATTTTGGATCTCTAAATTTTTGTGGACTTCTATTTTGTTTATTAACCTTTCATAAACGAAAGCTTTTATTAATTTAAACTTTATATTAGTTTTTTTATTAATTTAACTATAATATATGTCTGATTTTTTAAAAACTTAATTTAAATATTTTACAAATTTAATATTTAAAAAGCGTATATATATTTTGAGAACATAACCCTGTTTGATTTTTTAAAATATTTCTTTGTCTTCACCATAATTAATTTTCATATTTATCGTCCTCACTTGAAAATAAGCATTTTTAAACAAAGAAATATATTTTAAGAGACAGAATATAATAATTTTAAAATAAGATAAAATGTATTAATAAGTGTTGATTTTTCAATCAACAGTTATAATTATAACTAATTTTAAAATATTATAAAGCCTAAAAAAGCAATTAATATATGAAATATCATGATTTTTGTCTTGTGAATATTTATTTAATTTTATTTTCCATATTTAAAAAAATGTAATTTTGATATCTCTTTAAAAATTAAAATAATTTACTTTTATATTCTTAAAAATTAAAATCAGATAAATTATTATAGAGATAAAAAACAAAATATATGATATTTTCAAATTTTAATTGACTATAAATTTTTAACCATTAATTTATTTAGTTGATAATAGAAAAATACAAAAGAAAATAAATTATATTATTTTTAGTTCAATAAAAAAAATGGTAGAAGGAGACTTAAGAACCTTAAAGTGACTTAAATACGTAATTAATCTCTAAAATTATACATTCTTTTGAAAATTAGTTCTTATAATTTCTTTTTGTCGAATTTAATTTTGATTTTTTTTACATATACCTTATCATTAGAGAGTCACTAAGTGGTGATTAAGCAAACACTTTTTCACACAATTTCACATTTGTAAGATGAAATGTTAACTTAAGATGAAACAAGATTTAAATAAGTATTTAGTTCCTAAAAAATACACAATTTTCAAATTAGTCTATTAATTTTGTTTTATTCTTATAAAATTTTAATTTTTTAAAAATAATCCTACTAATATCTCTTGAATCAATAATTTTGATCTAGATAGCATCTTATATCTCATCTTTTTTTAAAAAATACTTGTAAAATTAGTGTTATTTGAAATCAAAATATTATTTTTTTGAAAAAATTTCAAAGTGATTAGAAAAAATTATATTATATAAAGTAGAAAGTCTTACTTCATTATATTCTTTGAACTCGTATTTTAATTTTCATCAATTGAAATAATTTGAAAAAATTTCATTAGGTGTAAGGCATGAAAATTTATTCTTATCATGTCCAAATTCATCTTAAACAGTAGGAATATAGACTTTTTTTGTCATAAGAAAAAGAGTAAAAAAATTAAAAAACTTTAAAAAATTATATGCTGGTTGATTTCAAATAGTGAAATACCTTAGTATTAAATATGCTGACGAAGAAAATCTCTTATTTAAAATTTTACAAGAAAATAAATAAATAAATAAATAAATAAATAAGGACTAATTCTAATAAAATATATTTTTTAAGATTAATTACTTATTTAAGTATTATGTGTAAAGCTAGCAAGTTACATAACAATATTTTGAAGCTTAATTATCACTTAACAACTTTTAGATAGTAATAAGGACTATTTTTAAAAAATTTAGGACTAAATAAAAAATTAAGAACTAATTCTAAAAAGAAATATACTTGTAGGGACTATTTACTTATTTAAGTTTAAAATTATTATAAAAATAAATAATATATAAGATAATTTAGTTTCTAACCAAGTCTAATGACATAATGTGATTTATGTAAATTATTTTATCTAATATGATAATACTTAAATTTTATAATTTTTTTAGAAAATTTTGCAAGTAACGAAACTTATATTTTTTTTAATTATATTTTCAGTTTAATTAAATTGACATAAAAAAGTAATTTTACTTTTTTACCTACAAATTTAAATTTCCTCATACATTTAAACTATTTAAGTTTTATACTATTTTAATAAATTATTTATAAATTTATATTTAGAGTAAATCCATAAATTAATCTCTTAAATAGTAACATTTGTACATATTAGTCATTTATTTAAATTATTTTATTAATTTTTTATATAGTAAGTTATCAAGTAATTAAGTTACTTCGTTAATTGATAACTGAGAAATATTAACTTTTATTATTAAGTAATATATAATACTAAAATAATGTCCTTTTAGACAAAGTTTGAAACTAATGTAATTAATTTTATGTCCTTGCGGTTGTTCTCATCTTTGACTATTATTTTCCCTAACTATGACTTTTTAATCCCTCCCTCCAGCTCCTCTCTCTCAAACCCACACTTCACTCCGCAACCACTTTCTCCTTCCCTTTTTCCACCAACTTTACTTTCTAGTAGACACCACCACTTGCCACAAAATCCCTCTCTGAATCACAACATTGGAGTAAATGCTATAAGTCTCTCTTTCTTTCTTCTGGATTCAACCTTAAATTACCATGTGATTACATAGATGTCTACAAATGCGAGTTAGTGATATAACTCGCATTGCATTTTAGATTAGGGCGATAGTTCCAACAAAGTGAATGATGATGGATGAGTTCGCGTTCAAAGAAGACGACTTACTATGGTTTATGATGCGCATTTTGTTTATGGTAGGCATGAGTGAGTATCTACCCTCAGTTTATAACAAAGGAGTTGAGGAGGATGATGGAAACGACCTTTATCTATAATTTTTGGCTTTTAGCAAATGAGGATTGAAGATGATGAGAATAGAAAGAGAGGAGGTTGAGTCAAAACCACTAGTGTGGAGCTGAGTTAAAGTGTAAAACGATGTCATTTTAATATTCTACATGTCACCTAAATATTTATTACCGAAAAAACTTGATTACACAACTGCTGTTACAATATGAGTGAGTTTACCCTTTATATTTATTAAGTTAATCGGTTAGGCAAACGATAACATACAAAATTCATGACTGCAAAGTTTGATTTCAACCTTCACGGGTCAAGACTTGATTAATTAGCCTTGATTTGCAATATCCAGACGCGAAAGAATGGGAAGGGGAATTATAAACAGCCACCCGCAAGTTACCCACAGTGAGTCATGACAAAATAATCACTACGTGCCGTTAAAGGGTTTTTTTTTTTGGTAGAAGTAAAATTTAAATATATATTCATCTAAAAATATAATTATTTCATTCCTTATAATTTATTTATTTATTTTTAGTCCTTCAAAATTACAAAAATTATAAACTTTAATCCTTGGAGAAGGACAAATTTCATATTTTGAAGGACTAAGATATATTTAAATTTGGGGGTTGGAGGGTGGTGGATGCATTTCAAAATATACACAATCTGTCGAATATTGATATCATACAATTGATCGAATATCACAAAGTTAATTTCACCGTTCAAGTTGCAGTCAGACCAACAAAAAAAGATAACCGGAATATACTTTTACCACTACAAGGACAAGAGTTGACAGTTTCGTGTTTACCTACCAGCCTTGAGTGCCTGCAAGAAAGGCAATCACAGTCAGCAAAATATAATTGATCCATGAATTTTAGTTGCCTAGCCATCATGATTTTAGTTCCAAAACAATTCATGATTTTGCCATTTAGTCTCTCTTAACTTTTTTTTTTTTCAAATTAATCTCATTAAAAAAATTTTACCAAATATTTCCTTCCGTTTAACTTTTCATTTCTTTTCCCATTTGTTATATATCTAAACATCATGAGTTTTTCATTTGGTCCCTGTAAATTGGGAGACCAAATGTTAAATTAGTAATATTTAGAGGGGAAAAGAAGAATAACTCATGATACATAGAGGAACCAAATTCTGTGGAAGAACTGGCAGGTAAAGAAAAATGTCTATGAAAGACTCCTTCGAAAACAATAATAAAACTACAGAATTAAAGAACCAAAGGAAAACTTATGAATCTTTTAGAGATAAAAAACTTAATTTAACCATATAAGGAACAAAGTCACTGACTTTGGTGACAACCAAATTCTCATTTTTGCCATTGAATTTCATGCAATGAAAAGCTGCACGTTATTTACAAGTTTTGGCTACAAGATGCATTACTCTGAAAAATGAATTAGAAAGGGTAATAAACGGATTAAAAACCTCTTTTCAACTCAGACAATCAGAAACAATGAACCAATTCATAATACTCAGGAGTTTGGATTATATATAATGAAGCAACAACAATCGTGATCTAAAAAATTTGCATCATGCTTTCCACCTTACAATGTTGCAAGTAAAGGATGAATTATGACTTGTTTCTGACTCATTTGATCACATCGCAATTTTAAGATCCCATGTTCAAATCAAGAAATTGTAAAAGATAATCCAGTTAAAGCAACAAAAGATTAATAATTATACTCAATAAAAATTGTAACTATAGTGAAAAAATTAGATTAAAATTTTGAAACCAAACTGCCTCTAAGTGATTATTTCTCCAAATTTGTGTTTCCTAATATGCACCTAGTCAGAACAGCACCTCCATCTGACAAAGGTGTATGTTCAACTAGATTTGAGACAGTTCAATAAAAGCCAGAGATAATTTCTTGAACACAGAATTTATCAACAAAGCATCAATAGCTGATTCTATCCTTGGATTAGAGACAACTTCATTCAGATATATGAGCATACCTGTACAACTTCTTATCTGCATAACTAGTTTCACAAATAACATGCCTCGACTGGGGAGGGTCGTTGACATTGGACATCAAGCCTGTTGAGCAATTTTGAGTAAGTCAAAGAATGATCTGGTGGGTTGTTAATGCCTTCAGTTTCTTTGCAGCCCCTACTGACATCACCTCCCATGCAATCAGCATCATGCAAATCACTTTTAGCAGGCCGGATGATCTTACCAAATAGCTGAATTGAACCAGAACCAACTTTGGAGTTGCCGTTGTGTGTCCCAGCAACCTGTGTGTCAATGGAATGAAAACTACTCTGACTATGTGGAGACAAGTCATCAGATTGAGGACTGCCAATGTTCAGCTCTGTTGACACAGTTCCCGCCCTTGGCAGTTTATTGTTCCCAGAGGAAAAATTATCCATATGTGGATAAGAGTTATCATTTAAAAAGTTGGAAAAACTTGAAGCAGAAAATAGATCATGCCTGGCTCCCTGCATGCCAGCAGGAGAAGTATCATAACTCAACAATTCTTTATTCAAGTGTCCAATTGTTAAGTTAGGAGACCCTGTCATAGGAAAGAAGGGATCTCCCTCTCTATCCTCTCTACCACTCAACAGCCCAGAACCCTGGTCAGCTCTAAACCTTTTTGCGGGGGGATATGCTGTATGAAGTGTAGGTACCGGGGAAACGAGTTCAACCTGCCAAGGACTGACCTGCTTTGCATTCTGCAAAACCTCAGGTTCATCCCAGTTAACCTACGATATTGAGATCAGCAGAAATGGTAAGAAGCCAATATCAGTCATTTGAGATAGATGATCAATTATAAAACCAAATTTTCTGGGACAAAGGTCTCTAATCAATTAAAAGAAAATGTCATCACAAATAACATAATTCTAGGAATCATTGGCACAAAATTACAGGAAAATTTAAATCATAGAAGGATAGGGAAAGAATTATAATAATAAAAAGAGATAACTGTCATCTGTATTAAAAGAAACTACCAAGGAAACAATAAAATCATCTCAGAGGCAGAGCATAATTACAGTGATTTTGTATGCCCCAAATTGATTCAAATGTGAAAATGTTATATATTACCCTTAACCAAAGTAAAGCAAAGATATAATTTAAATGCAGAAAATCTACCATTTTCTCAGTTCAATCTTCGATGTTTTAAAGTTCAAGAATGCATGCCAATCTTCCATTCTAGCATTTCACTTGTCACCAAAGGGCATGTTCTTTCTGTATTTCCCATATACTAAGACTATCCTCTTGGAAGCAATATTAAACCCAGAGCCATTAGCCACAGTGTACTGTTAGTCAGAATCCCTTATAGGAAAACGTGTAATTCCCTAACCCTCTCCAATCATCCTCACATGCTTTGGTCACGAGACCAATCCCATTGCGCACAAAGCAACACAGTCAACGCCTCTCCAATTCTATAAAAAGAGATCCATCCCAAACAATAAGTTATGGAGACTTAAGAATATCACTTTTTTGCTTCATAACCATATGAACTCCCACCGCACTAACAAAAACTTCGGAGCTAACAAGTTCCTAAGAAACATCCAATATACCTTATTAAATGGTTTAAATTAATTATAAAGCAATTATTAAATATTTTTTATATTTTCAATATAATGCATACTTGTTCTTCTAATAAAAACTTTCTAGTTTTGTTTTCCAGATAAGTTATAAGTGTTAGTTAGCATTTAGGAAAACTTAAAGAGCACCACTCATCCTCCTAATATCGTATCTTTTCTATCTGCATAAGAAATGACCAAATCAGATTAGCTTCTTACATCTATAAGCATTAATTGCTAAATTACAAAATTGCCCTTCCAAGTTTCTAGATATTTACAAAAAAATAGCTAGTTTTCTAAATCGGGCACGCAATAAGATCCTATATATGGTATGCTTTCTTTTATTGAAAATAACAAAATATCCCTGAATTCAAAACATTGAATTCTATAACTTTTAATAAAAAATTACTATTTCTCAACATGAGCCCTTGGCAAATTAGAAAAACTGTCCTAAAAAACTTGATACATTAGATGATTTTAATAATGCAACAAGTTTGATTTATGTTATTTCCTTGACTAACTCCTATAAGTAACTATTGAAAAATCTAATTCAAAGACTCGTTGCTCATACAAAATATACCTGAAGCATGCGCCAAGGTCCATTTTCAGAAGCAGAGGCAGAAGATACAGTCCCCTGAAACCACGTCATTCTAGAAGAATCCTCAGTCTCCATACCCATCTTCACTCTCATTCCACCAACCCACATGATCTTCATTGCTTCCTCCACAATCTCTGCCTTCACCACAAAATCCGCCAAACCAGTTCTCGGATAATACACAACCTCAAACGGCACCTTCCTCCCCGCCGCTTCCACCACCGCCGCAACTGCCCTTGCAGAAACCCTCCCCCTCGCACTCCGCGAAAATCCCTCATTCGCAGGCATCTCCTCCTCGGCGACCTCGCCCTTTGCGAACCGCAGGGCGCGGCGAATCCCGACAAAGACCTTCCCGTCAGAGTCCTTCACGAAGACGACGGAATCACCAGCGACGAGCTTCTTGTGGTTGACGAACTTGCTCCAGCCGGTGGTGAGAAGGTGCCGGCGCGGCGTTCCACGGTAAATGTGGCGAAACTGCCACGTGACGCCGTGGACGTCGGTGACGGAGAGAACCTGAACGGGAGGATCATCGTCGAAGTTGAGCGGAGGGAAGATAGAATCGGCGCAGAAACGCGGAACGGAGAAACCGCCACCGTTGTTGGCGTCGGAGGGAGTGAGAATTTTGGAAAACGAAACGACTGCGTTGCGGTTGTCGTCGTCATTGGGCGAATGGAGGTGGGAGAGGGGAGTGAGGAATCGGGGGGACACAACGACGTCGTTTTGGTTGTGGGTGTGGGTGAGGGGAGTGAGAAGGAGCTTGGCGAAGACCTCGTCGGAGAGGGGATCGGCGAGGTAATCGAGAGCGGACACGTAGCAGGGAACAAAGGGGAGTGAACGGATGAGAGGGGGGAGAGAGAGGTTACGTGAGGGAGAGGCGTGTTCCATTTGACCCCTGGGGAAGTAGTAAACCCTAGAATGCAGCGCTGGGATTTTCACGGTGGCGCCGGCGCATGCCTGCCACAGTTTTTGGTCGACGCGGCGGGGGTGCGGCGGAGGCATTCTCAGATACTCAAGAATGGATTCGAAGTTGGGAGAATGAATGAGGGGTTTGATTGTTATTTGTTAGGGTTTAAACATAAGAATAGAAATGTGAGTGTGTCAATGCCAGAGAGTGTTTATTCTGTTGGTGTCGCTGTGTGCGCTTCTTTCTCTCTCCCAGCAGTTGTGTCCGATCGATTTTGTGCAGTCAGTATCCGCCCTTTCCGCAACATGTTCGTTTTGTTTTTTTCTAAATAATTTTAGTTTTTCTGTTATTATCATGTATTGCGAGATTCTCGTTTAAACTTTTTAACGAACTCTTCTTAATATATTCTGTTAAAATTTATAAAATTTAAACATAATAAGAAAATATCTTTAAAAATATCTTTTTTCTTTAAAAAGAATTGAAATATGTCCTAATTAAACATAATATAAAATTATATTAAAATAAAATGAATTATAATTTATACATAAGTTACATAAAATTTTAACGACTTATAATAAAGTATATCTCGTTTTAGAAGTAAGTCCGGTTATACTTAAACTTAAGATGAATAAGTGAGATGACTATTATACTAACATGGCTATGTTAGTAACAAGTACAATCACGTTAAAAATTATGTTCTTAACATTTTTTAACTAAATATATATCAAAATTTGTGTATAAAATTTTTTAAAATATTATTTTTATTTTAATATTTTTTTAAAAAAATATATTAATAAATAATAGTAGTATTTTATACAAAAATTAAAATAAAATGTGTGTATAAGGTTTTTAAAAATATTTATTCATATTTTTATTTAAATAAATTTTATTTAGAATCAACTATATTAATAAATAATAAGAGTATTTATATAAAAAATAGTATTTATTTAAATAATTTTTTTAAAATGTGTGTATAAAAATTTGTTTTAAGATTAGTTATATTTTATTTAAGAAAATAATTTATATTTTTTAGGACACAAAATAGTATAACTAAACATGTTATTTTACAATAAATAATATACAAAGGTGAAAGCAAATCATACATTTATGTTGCAAGTTGTTATAAAAGAGTGTAGTAATTAAGACAAAATATTTTAATTTTTATAAAAAAAACAGTATTTTTAGTATATATTTTAATTTTAAAAAAATTTAAAACAGTGTAAAGTATATATAAATCTCTTATTACTTATTCGTTAATTAAAGACAATATAAATTATATATTGATATCGTGAAATATTATATGATAAGATAGAAAAATAAATTTAATTTATTAAAGTTAGAAACATAATTTATTATTATTATTATAAACATAAAATTAATTTTATTTAATAAGAGAAGAAATATTTAGAGAAAAGAATATATTTATATACTTAGTAAAGATAATTATTTAATAAAATGAGTGACAATTATAACTTAACTTTAAAAGTTACTTTTATTGTATGAGACTTAAGATAATATTAGTATATCAAAATTTTTACGATTTATAATATATAATAATAAAAATGCTACATGTTAACGTTACAAATTACTACTCTTAGCTTAGTTAATAAATTAATTGTTTAATTATTTAAAAGTTTAAAAACATTTATATCAATCAACAAAATAGTTATCTAATTAATTTAAGATAAATTATAAACTATTGTATCAATAAAAAAATAATTTATTTTTTATTTTTAACTTAATTGATAAAATATTTAAAAGAGTATATTTTAAAGGTGAAATATTTAATTGATTTTAAAATAAGATATTTTTAACTTGAAAGATTTATATGGCATAAAATCAATAACAACATATGTACATGTTAGCTTTGATGATTAATAATATATAAAGATAGAGATGGCTATATAGTTATTAACTATTGCATTAAAAATAAAATTTTGATTTAATTAATTAATAATTAATATTTAAATAAAGAAATATTTAAGAATAATCTAATAATTATTTAATTAATTAAAATTAAAATATAATAAATTTATATCACATAAAACCTAAAGTAATATAAATAAACATATATTTTATCAATTTATATTATATGATGATGTAGAAAATTTATATATTAATATTATAAATCGTTTAAAGTATTATTTATTTGCAAAATGTATAGAAGAAGATATAATCTCAGCAATATAAAATTTAAGAAACAACATAAAATTTTATAACAAATGATGTCAAGATAATATCAACAAATAAAATAAATAAATAACTAATGACTATTATAATGAAGTAAAATAAATGTTAGAATATAAATGATAATTTTTAAATTTTATTATCTATCATTTATTTATTTATTTTTATTTTTATATATTTTTTAATGATGTTATTACAATTTACAAGAGACAAGATGAAAAATAATTTGCATCCTTAAAAATAAACAAAATACTAAGATTAACGATGATGAAATCTTCATGCTAAAAAATAATGGTGATATCACTAATTATAATAATATTAAAATAAAATTAACAAAATAATAGATATATTATAATAATTAATTATTTTTTAATCAACAATTTTTCATATGTTTTACTATTATTTTTATTTTATTTATTTTAAAATTAAATTTTTTATGTAAATTGAAAGTAATAATATTAGTAACAACAATAACAGTAATACTATTATAAACTAAAGGTGAAATTTTAATACAAATTTAATTTAAAAAGTCTATTTACCATATTTTATTATTATTATTGTTATTTAAAAATTCATAAGTAAAAATTAAAATAGGTAAACTTAGAGAATAAAATAAAAATTTAAGCCAACAAAATAAATAAATAACATAATTTTTTTAATTTTTTTTCTTTATTAAATATTTTTCTCTTTCTCTTTGTTTTATTATTGGGGTACAAGAAGATCAGTCTAGATTTTTTAAGCTCTCTTTTTTTTTTAGGTTGGGCTCCTTGAACCTATGCTTGCCAAATTTTATTATTATGAAATTCACTATATATAGCCCAATTAGGTATTATAAAAAAAATCGATCCTAACTTTATCAATCAGATCCAACTCGCCTTCTAATTCATGACTTAATTTTTATTTTTTTAAAAATGTATTTATAAAATAAAAGTAAAAGGAAATTAATGATACAAAACATTAATTTATTCTTTAAAAGTGGACTTTGGGAAATTAGGACTAACAAGAAAGTTTTGGAAGAAGAGGGTGACTACGTTGACAAAGACTAATGAATTCAACACTGAAGGAGAATAAGCTATGGTAGTCCATGTTTTACACTCCTTCTTCCTTTCTTAATTTTGTCTCTTTTCTTTAATTTCTTTCTTTTTTTCTTATTTTTTTTCTGTGTTTCTAATTCTCTGTGTTTCTTTAATCATGGCTCCTTTTGTACGAGTATTATATTTGGTTAATGAGGAGAGAAGATCAACCATGTGGTATATTTATGAAGTAACAGAGAAAGGTAAATAAGCTATTATAAAGTTATTCGAAAATAATAAAAGCAAATACAAAAATATGTTTACAATCATTAATAATAGATTAACTTGTCAGCTTCATCGTCAATTGCATGCAGTTGATCACATTTTAAACTCAGTGTTCTATTATGACAACCTTCAAATAGAATTTGATTTGGAGGTTATAAATGGGTTGTATAATTGTATCAAGATATTGGTGCCAAGTCAGGATGTGCAACAAAGCATATTATTTGAATTACCAATTTATAAGAGTGGTGGTGGTCTCTTTGGGTTCGACTTTACAAAAATACAAAGAAAAAACATTGCTCCTAGTAATTCATCAAAAACTTCAACATTTTAAGTTAATTTATAGTTAAGACCTTACCTTTAGAGTTATAATTCATCTTTGATTTTATAGCTCAATGGTGGAGAATGTATGGATATTCACCTCCATATTTGCAGCAACTAGCTATAAAAAATTTGAGCTTAACATGTAGTGCATCCTGATGTGAATGCAACTGGAGTATTTTTGAGTAAGTAATTTTTCATCTCTCAAGCCTACTACTTTATTCTAGAACTTAGAAAGAAACTAATTAATACTTTTTTAATTACACTTATGTTACAAATTCATTTAAAGAAGAAGAATAGACTTGATCATAAAAAATTACATGACTTGGTTGACGTGAAATATAATCAACAACTCAAAGAATATTACAATCTTAAAGATGTAATTGATCCAATTATACTCAATCACATTGATAATTGTAATGAGTGGTCGGTTGGAGAGATGGATGATGATACACATGATGACTATGAGGATGCCAAAAATGACTTAGTTTTTTTTTTATGGAGATAACACTTTAAATTGGACAACTGTTTATGAAGCTTCTAGAATTGGAGAGTCAAGAACATATATTAGGCATCATTCTAAGAAAAGAAAGAGTTTATCAAGTGGTATTACTATCAAAGCTGCAAATTTTTTCAAGATTAAGTCATGTTCAATAGTAAAAGAGAAAGAGAAAATGATAATTCAAGATGATGTTGGTGATGATGAAGAATTAGAAGGTGAATAGATGTCAGAAGAAATAGAAGATGAATTAGAAATTAATCTTAATTCAAGATGATGTTGAAGAATTAGAAGATGAAGAGATGTCAGAAGAAATAGAAGATGAATTAGAATTAATCTTTCACAATCTACGAAAGAAGAAGAGAGGTGATATGCCTTGGTGGATGAGAAAGAAATCAATTACAATGGAGTTGAAGAAGAGGACTAAATTAATATCTTTGTTTTTATTGTTAACTTGATATTTGATAACTGCTTATTTTATATTGAATTATGCTTTGAATTGTGAATTATACTATTTATATTTTGAGTTAATTATTTTCTATCATTTTCTGTGACTTATAATATTTTTTATATATTTTATTATATTCACCATAACTCGCCATGGCGGCTGCCATAACTTTATGGCAGTTTTTTTAGTTTTCACCATGATTTGCCATTCGTTATTGATAACGTTGCTACATAATGTAAAACACTAATTGTTTTCAGAAAATAGTATTGCTTAGACTTAAAATATATACTATAGTCATTGTATGGTAGAATATGGATCTAAGTGGCATGTTTAACTAGTCATCTAACAATTCTAAATCACTAGATTTTTGGACTTTAAAAGGGCACCACACTTTATGTTCAAGTATGATGTTTTTATCAATAAGGAATAAAGATTGGTTGTCTCTTGTGCAGTCAAAACAAGTTAAAATATTCTAGCCTAAACATAAGAAATAACGTGTAGAGATTTGAAAATAGAAATAATGTGCGATATCTCTATTTCTTCATGCTAGCACTGCATTCCTTTCCAATCTATTTACGTGTGTGCATGTGATTTTTTTTCCCTTCTTTGTTTCTTATTTTTAAGGGGTTAAAAGCTAAAATGACCTATCATTTATCACTTTAGTTATGCTCACGTTAACATATGTGATTTTTACTAGGACACACACAAAATTAATGAATTGTATGAATAAAATATTGCTAGACTTCATGAACGAGTGATTGTTGGTTTAAAATTTCTGCTTGTCATTCTAACTTGTGTCCATTTTATACTATGTATGGAATATATGCAATTTTAATCCTACTTTAATCAACTTTGTTTAATAGCACATATGTTCACTATATGAAAATATATCATATATTAAACCACTATATAGGCAATAATCACTAATTAAATTAAATTATCCAAATCATCAAGCAAGTGCAAAATTCCTATGTAATACAGGTCATAGTAATATTCCTTAATCTTAGTGGTAAAATTGATTTCGATGCATTATTAATGCAGCTCCTTCCAGATTTAGTCATCTAAGGTAATTCTAACCTCAACAAATTTATATATTTAAAGCATTATTTTATTAAATAGTTTGATAAACATAGTTTTTTCTTTACAATATCCATGTTTTAAATTGATGATTATTGTATGCATAATGTTTTGATTCAAGAAAAGTAATAGTAAAAAGAGATGTTTATAACTTTCAAGTTGAGATATTAGAACTTTTAACAAGAGAAAAAACCTAATGATGAAGCATTTATGGAAGAGGGAACCAACTTTGTCACATGGGTAAGACATAATTCTTGCAATTGGATGAGTATAACTGTTTGAAGGAGTAGAAGGTGTTGTTAGATCAAAAAGAGTCATAAAGATAAAGAAGGAAGGAGAAGGAAGAAGAAGGAAGAAGAAGAAAAGAGATAAAAAAATGAAGATGAATGGAAGGAAAAGGAAAGGGTGGAGGCGACATAGTACAAAATTTGAAGAAAATGATAAACAATATCTACACAATACATGTGACAAAAAATGACAAAAATTTTAATGCGGTTAGCATTTTTAATGAAAGTGGACCTATTTGAAATATTTTTACAAGTTAAAGGACTAAAATTGACAAAAAAAAAAGTTGGAGAATAAAATCGAAACTTTCCTTAAGTTAAATGATGAAAATACTAATTTTGCCTAAAATTTAAATGCAAAAATTCTTGTAATGAATTTAAATGTGAGAAAATGAGTTAATTTTTTCAAATTTAGTATACAATGTTGTGATCTTGGTCTCAATTTCCTTTTCTAGTTATTTCCCTTCTACTTTGATACTTTCTAATTTTTTGTTCTTTTTATGTTCTCCTTCCATCTCTTTGTATGTGTGTCCTTTTTTAAATGCACTTATATTTATACTTCTTGTCATGTTAGCATTTTATAATTATAATTTTCTAGCTTCTCTTAATTCTATAATTTCAACTTACAAAGATATGAAACTAGTTAGCTAGCTTTAAAAAAAAAAAAAAAGGCAATGGTTGAAAGACCTTCACAAGAACTAACTCACCAACTTTTAAGGAGGTGAGTTTCAAGTCAATGTGCATAGGCCTCTTTTTTTTTTTTTGGTGGGGGGGCTTAATTTTTTCTCAAAAGTTTAGTTTTTATGATTTTGTAATGAGTTACAAATTAAAATAAATAAAATGGATAAATAAGAAATTAAAAGGAGACAAAATGAGAGATGAATAAAATAAAATAAGTGAGAATCCATTTGCAATTCAAACTATTGGATTTATAGTTTCACTTGCTGCTTCAATACTCGTCTGTGCATCACATCTTTTTGGTTTTGTACAGCAAATCATTGTTGCTCCACCACAACTTTTTGCAAGCACTAGTTCTACACCTCAACCTACCAACTCTAAGATAAACTCCCTATACAAAAAGCATTATTCAAATGAAGAGAAAAGTTATGTGTAACTCATAGCCAACTTCAAGGTATTGTCAAGTAAGGAATGCAACAAAGTATTTCAAGCCAAGAGTTTTAATTTGAAAAGACAATATTAGCATTAGAATTAGTGGATGCAATACTTTTTTTCTTTCTTTTTGGTCCTTTGTACGTGTAGGAGGGAATTTTTGTCCTTTGAGTATTATTGTACATCTTATTTATCCCATCTTCGTATTATAAGTGAAACACTTTGTCATTTTGATATAATTAAGACTTATTTAGCTGTAATCATCATTATGTAGAAATACTTGATTTATTTAATTGTAGTTATCTTTGCTCACAATTTATTCAATTTGGTACTCAAGTCAAAAGTTCTAATTTTAGAACAAAAATTTCATTCACATGGTAACATACATTGTACACATGAAAAGACAACTATTACATGACTATATTATCGTACAATTACACATTTAATTTCTGCTCACATACATGCATTCGTTGTCTAAACGTATTATACCCACCATTATATTGACTTCACATCAATTACATGTTTCAAACTCTAAAAATTTTGTAGAAGCAAAATCCTATCACCAACGTTGCTGTCATGTATCATGATAATATTATTATTATCTCGTACTTATGTACTAATTTTCTTATTTCTTTGATGCTATTTTGCTACATGTTAATTGTCTCCACTGAATGATAAAAAATTGGTTCATCCATCCATTAAAATTTTTTGAACCTTTAGTCCCCTTCGAGACAAAACAAATGAAGAATAGAAGCTAATATAAATAAAATTAGAACAAGAAACTAATTTTTTTTATTATTACAACTTATTTTAAAATTTGAATGCTAGTAAAACCTTTTACTTGAGTTTTGAGGAGTACAAAATATATAAATCTTCATCCAACCCATGCAATCATAAAATAATGTTCATTTTTCCTCTTAAAGATAGAAATGCTTGCATTTGACTCTATTTCTTACTCTGCAATTATTTTCTTGTTACAAACCAAAATAAAGTGATGGAGGCAAAAGAAAAATGTATTCTAAGGTCCCTTTGCAATCACTTTCAAGTTGCACTAGCAATTGAGTTGCATTTCAATCTAATAATAACTAGGTCAGATCGTTATAACTTCATATAATGACGAAAACTAAAAAATTAAATTTGATATCAGGACTAGTTTACAGGTATATTATTTATAGGAACCAATTTTTTTTAAAAAAAATGCTTCGAATAGAAACAAAAATATCATTTAAACCAAATAAAAAGAATAATATAAAATATCATTTGATGATAAGAATGTAATAAAAAATTCATATTACATATGCCAAAAATTTAAATTAAAATTCATCAGAATAAATAATTTTCAAATCTTTAAATCCATTTTATTTAAGTAAAATTTGATAAATTTATATAATTTTCTCTTCTTTTTTTTATCAATTGTTTGCCAAAATTTCAACAAAAATTTACACCTTTAGCTCCCTAATTAATTTAGCTAATTTCTTGTAAAATATATACATGTTTTCAACAAACCAACTTCCAATGTATTTATGAAGGTTATGAATTTATATTTTTAGCTAAAATAAAATGAATGAAACGAAAAAATGATAAATAAAACATTAGTGCTTTGAACTAAAACCAAAACTATTCATATAGTGAACTGCAAATTTTGAAAACTTATTTTATTCACGCGGAATTGAATAAAGTTAAATCAATTTTCCTTTTTTTTTTTATTAATTGATTGTGTCATGTAATCATAAACACTTTACTTTTCTTTTCCTTAATTGATTCAACTGATTGTTCTGTAAAAACTATGTTTTCTAACGAATCGACTTCATATATATACTGATTTTGAATTTATACCTGAATAAATAAATAAATTAAAAGCTTATCATTATTATTATTATTATTACTATACTTCTATTACTATTACTATTATTATTATTATGACTGATCGGTGGACTCGTAATCTAAAATTGCAATATGACAGGAAAATGCATGTAAGACACACCCTTCCTAATCATCAAAACACAACCTTAGATCATTTAAAAGAAGATTACAATCCTTTTTAGTGTTTATATCCGTTCAGCTCATGCAATAAATGCTTTAGTGTTATGTAATAAACCAGAAGGTGCTATTACTAAATTTCGTTGTCATTCTTATAGGGTTACAAGATTATAAGTGACAGGTGGAGATAATTATGGACCAGAACCATTTTCCACGAACAATCCTTAGCAAATCAGTATTTATAACTCAGTACCTATACAATAGAATATGATTCTTTAACTCATTTTTTATGTTAATTTAATACTTATTATTTTAGAATATCAAGAAACATATATTTTTTTTCATAATACTCTTATTTATTAGTTATTATTAACAACTATAATCAAGGTAAAAAAAAAGCCTTATATGAAGTAATATAAAGTCTTACAGCATATATTTAAATGAATATGTAAAAGTTGCATACAGGGATCAAAATGAAACTAGTTGTTGTAAATATTTAATGGAGAACTTAAGATTGTGTTTGAATAGAGGGCATGAAGAGTATCCAATCCCTTAATTCTGCTAGAGAAAGATCGTAACCAAGTTTTGATTAACCAAATGAATTTCATGTAATAGACTTTACGCGCAGTGCAACAGTTTGGAGTCCACCGAAAAATATTTTGCAACTATGGTCAAGTCAAAATACGATAATGGATTAGTCCATACTCAAATAATGTGAGGGTGTACACTTGATCTTAGAAAAGATAAAATGAAATAAAAAGAAAGGTTTAAAACACCTATGGTAAATAAGATTTTCGTAACGGTGCATAGATAAATAAAATTTAAGTTCATCATAAACGGGGTCATGAATGGAAGTAGTATTTTCCCCGTTAGAGAAGATTTTCCCGATATGCGTTGTTAGGACTAACATTTCAATGTGGGATTTTCACTCCGAAACATTACTTCATGCAGGTAGCACCAAGCTTTCACAAAACTTGCTTTAATAACTATATACGTAGCTCAATCAAGGTTCAAGCCCCTATACATAAAATTTCCTGGTACACACAAAGAAGAAGATAAAACACTAGTGAAGCTCAGTGGAGCTACTTGAAAATTCTTGTGCTGGGTTAAAGGGATCATATTACAGGTTGCTGTGATTATTGATGATATTTTATTATGTATGGATCGTCTAGCAGGCCTAGGAGGTGATTTCACTTTTTAGCATGGTTAGCGAATTTTAAATTGAAGTCCGAAGATATTCAATCTAGGTAAAGGATTTCTACAACATAGTAGGTAGGAGGGCAACCCTTATTGTATACAGAGCTCTAATACACCAAATGTATAATGGTATACCATGTTATGATGATTCAAAAAATGAAAATCAAAAGCTGAATTGATTAGCAATGCCTTACATTTTGTCAATTATTAATCTTATGATATTTTCTACGATTATTTATGTTTTGATACCACAAATTTTCTGGACAAGATAAAACTAGAAATACTGTATTTTCAAAAAGTGTTTTATAACTACTATCAACAATATCTCATTAAAATGTAATGCTTTCAAATGTTGAGAGAGTCCATATTATAGTGGAGGACATTTGCAATTCACCTCCAAGCCTCTGGTGTTCAATACACCACTCCTTGTTTTCTAACGAACCAAACTAGAACTTGCATACTTGGCTATATGCTTTTTCATTTCAAACTACCAAAAACATCTTAATGGATGGTCAGCATTAAAAAAATTGAAGTCACAACTCGCTTAAAACAATCATGTGACTTTTTAAATTATTTATGTTTTAAGCTTGACCATTCATGATAAGATCCAATAGTTTAAATTTATTCTTCTCATTCTCACATAAAAGAAAACATTCTCATTTGATATATTCCCATGGTTATAAAGCACTTGCTATAACATTGTTTTGATAAGTTAAGAAGCACCTATTTGTATAATGTTGAAACCAAGTTTGACCAAAACAGAGAAAATGTCACTTTGGTTTAAGGTGTGTTTATGGAGCCTTGCATATTCTGCAATCAAGCCGACCAATGCAGCCATTATTTCAAATATGAAAAGTAACATTCATCAAATACACATTTTAGTGATCAATTCATTATAATAATAATAACATAATATATTCCCCAATCCTCCCAGTGTTTGCTTCTCGATTCATAAGTAAATTTTGAAGGTAAGAAAATATTTGGGTTGAGCAACATATTATATGTCAACAAGATATTAAACTTAAGAAACAATAGTATATCCTTGAGACCTGTCTTCATTTTCTTAGTATTTCCTCAGTTTTCTTTAACTACAAAACATTCAACAGGGGGAAAAGTAACTTCATAACACTCTGCATTAAAACAATACTAAATGATCTGGCTATAACACTAAAAATAAACAACACAAAGATGATGGCCATCTTTCTTAGACCAACAATCAACAAAAATAACAATACATTTTATCAAGAAAACATGATGTAGTACAATTTCACGAACCTTGTTTCACTTAGAGGCAGGACCATAATAAAGCGCCTTTGCTGCAGCTATTGCAGAATCCCCCCTCTTAACAATTTTGTGAAGCTCCTCAACCTTCTCCAACAAGGATGCAACACTTGAATTCGTAGACTGAACCAATTGGTTCGCAGTTTCTAGAGCAGTGCATAACTGAATAACAAAATAAAATAATAAATTGAAGTTGAATCGAGTAACGGATTCAGTTGTGAAATAATAGCCAAATAGTACCTTCAATGTGAGAGAGGTCCAAGAATGATCGGTGCCAGCGAGAGCGGAATTCAAGTGCTCGTAGTTTTCCTGAAACGACAGAAAGGAAACGCTAAACGCAGGTTACGATGACGGAGAATTGACGGGTTAAACGGCGAGAGTGGAACCTGGAAGAGTTTGGTGAGGTCAGGAGGAGGATCGGGATTGGGGGTGTCGTTTAGATGCGAAAGAGAATGAGAAGAGTTTCCTAAATCTTCTTCTCCAACGTCGTTTAGGAGATCTCCAATGCATAGGAGGGGGCCTCCGATTCCTCTCATTTTCTGTTTCTGATTTCTCTATACAAAACGCTTTGCCTTCTAATCTCCACTTTCTTTGCTTCAATAATCGTTAAAACTCTCTCATCATGATTCATTTTTATTTTACCATTTTTCTACTCTTTCGTTAAAAAGCAACCCCGAATTTTTTCGGCATTTTTATTTTATAAAGATTTTATTCATTTGTTTATTTATATTAATTACCTTATTATTTATTTAATTTTCATACTTCTTAACTTTATCGTGTTTTGACATTTACAACATTGAGATAAAAAAAATCTTAAACTTTTAGTTTTTTTCTTATAATTATATATTTTATATTTTTCAAAATCAAATTAATATAAAGTGAATTTATAGATACTGAGTAAATAATTTGATTTTTTCTTTAATTTTTAATATTTTTATTAAATATATTCTTAAAGTAGGTATTATAATTTAGTTAGAGATGGCTTAACAAATCGTAAAAAATATTTTATATAACTATTTAGAAAATAAAAAATTCAATAATTTTATTATTAAATATTTGATAAACTCCACTTTTGTTAATGAGTGTCTCTTAACTTTTGATATACACAAAAAGTAAAAATATTTTATTTAATCTATTTAAAAATTTTATATAATTGAAAAGTTACAAGTAAAAATGTAGAAATTTCATTGTTTTAAACTTTTACATAAAAAACAAATAACAATAAATTTTTTAGACAGATAAATTGAAATAGATATAATCTAAAATAAAAATAAATTAAATAATTATAATTTTTAAGTTTCAAAAATATAAAAAAAACATAAACAAATCTAAATATAAGATAAGTCATAAGATATGACGAAAAAGAATTTTAAAAAATTCTCTCATTTTAAGATAATAAATATCTATGTATTTTTTATGAGCACAAAATTTTAAATTAAAATATTTTAAAGTTGAATTTAATAACATAAGTTTAAAGCTTATTAAACAAAGTTTCATGAATATTTTCACATTAAATCTCTTTCTTATCATGTTAAGCTTTTTTTCCCCATACATTAAGCATTTATTTTTTAAAAATAATCATAAATATAAGTTTATTTATTTTAAAAATATATTAATTTAATAATACCATATAATCCATAAAAATATATTAGTAATTCTTAAAATTGACCTCATTTAGTAACGAAGACTTACACAATATATAAAAATGAATAATTTATAGCTTTATATATTGTTTTTAATATATATCTAAATATATAAGATAAAAATTCTAAAGAATCGGTGGAATAGAGTAAGGTAGAGTTTAAGCTCTCACTGTTTCTATTAAAACAAAGTAAATATAAATTATTTTGAGCTAAATGACTTTTTTTACTTTAAAATAAAACATCATCTCTTTCTGAAAAATCGTAAAAGAAAACTATATATATATATATATATATATATATATATATATATATATATATATATATATATATTAAAATTTTAATATAATACCGTGTAAATTTAATAAAAATGTATTATTTATTAATATTTTTATATTAGCTTAAACATACCTTCAAAATAATTCAGAACAATTTCTCGCAACTCTTGCAAGTGAAACCCAAATCAAAACCGAAGTGAGTGAAAAGCTGTAAGCACGCCTTTCTCTTCCACTATTACAAGTGAACCGCACTCTCTGTTCTTGAAAGGAGCCTTCCCCATTCATCAATTCCCCAGAAAAACCCTAGCAATTCATCTTCAATCAAATGGGAGGTGAAGATAATGTAAAGCATATCGAAGATTGCTCAGTTTCCAAGTCAGTCTCACTTCTTTCCCTCTCCTTTATTTGTGTTTTTTCGGTTTTTTGAAGCCAGATTTGCTATATGTTACCAAAGTTTACGGTATGATTGATGCGAATCAGCCTATATTGATATTATTGGTTAAATATTAATTTGAAAAATTAAAAAAATGTAAAGATATTTGATGGAAATCAGCCGCAAAGTTGAATTATAGTTTTCGTAAAACCCGAATTCGTGACATTTAGCAATTTTCTTCTTTTAATATTTGCCAGAACCTTCATAGGATCTGTTTGGATTTTTTTAAAAGCTCTTTTTAGCTTATTTCAATAAGCATTTTTATTTTATTTCAATAAATTTCGTAGTTAAATTTTTTACACGTTATTATTTTTAAAAAAATATTAAAGAAACGATTAATTAAGCTGTGTATCAAAACACATCCTCATTTGACTGATGGATTCATAAAAACGTAGAATTGCATTAAATAGTTGAAACTAGCTTCTTACACATCCTTTTTGCCATATAATGAAATCAAATCAAATCTAAGAACTAGTTAGAACACAAGGAAAAATACCAAGTATTCTGTGACAGTGTATTTGGATTAGCTAATAATCATGTTCAACCTGTTTTAGCAATAGGTTTGGTACGGGAAAATTTGTTTCTTTTAAAGTCTTGAATGTATTCATGATATTGGAAACTCCCTAAGTTTGTCTCCTGGTTATTGAAAATGTCACTGATTAGTGATTAAGTGTTCTGCTAAAACTATTCATCTGACTTTTGGAAGATAAGGCTGAACAAGTGATGTATTTGTTTGGCATAGTGCTGCATACTTGTTTTTTTTAATTCCTGGTAGATTGGTACCATAATGAGTTGTCAAATATTTATTAGTTGCTGAGCCTTGGTGCAATGGTAAGGTTGTTGCCTTGTGACTTCGAGATCACAAGTTTAAATCCTAGAAAACAGTCTTTTGCTTGCGCAAGTTGTTCTGCTATATGACACCTTTGTTAGTTTTGGCAATAAATGTTTGGTAGTCCAAGTATAATTTACGAGTACCTAGGAGCTCTCAGGAATGAGAATATTGGGTTGAAAATATGCTTTAGGAAATCATAGCAGGTTTTGTATCATCAAATCTGTATCCACATAAGTTGCCTGGTCACAATAAAAATGTATCTTATTTAAAGAATTTAGGGTTAGTTAAAAGTCATGATTTTCTTGGTCATGGTTACTCCTTTGATTTATAATGACATCTATCTACTAACTTTACCAGTGAGAAAATAATTTGGGGCCTATGTAAGAACTGAAGAAACTAAAAAGGTTCTTGACATGGTGCAATGCAATGGCACTTTGTCCCCTAACAAACTGTTTACTTCCCACACCCTATCACCTTTGGTTATCTTTTGCTATATGATGATTTGGTTTTTCCAATAATGGTTATGAATTGAGGAGAGGTTGGTGCCTCTTATTAATGCTTATGTTTTTCTTTAGTATGGAGATCCTCAGGAGCTAGACCTTCAATTTTATTTTCAATTACTGAAAGTTCTTCATTCTACTTGGTTATTATTTCTTTTATTCATTTCTTTTGTGCTGACATTCTTTTTTCACAAATGCCTTTTCTATTTGTTTTAAACGGTTAATTTTGTTCAAATGTAACTGAATATGAAAAGTTTGCAGTGCATTGGGTACTTGGGTATTCTCAGTGGCAGGAGCTTTGCTAGCAATTCCAGTGGGGATAAAGCGCAAATCTCTTGCACCTCTTGTATTTTTTGGCACCACTGGTACTATGGTGGATATCATTTTGGGAATTAGTGCATGTGAAAGGGAACATGCAGAGCGCCAAATGAAGCTTCTTGAAGCCCAGAGTGCTGCTGCAGCTGAGACCTCTTTGGGAGAGACAAAAGTTGATTCATAACTTCTGTATCTTGAGGTTGTCATATTGGTTTCTCATGATTGTAACAAACTAAATTCACTTTTCTGGTAGCCCGTGGTTAATTGTTCTGCTAATTGGCGCCTTGTTATTGGCCTTTTTCCTCTAGCAGTACAAACAAAAGGTGAATAAAACCGGATTTCCTTGTTAATTCATTAAAAAATATTTCAGATGCTCTGTTCCTCTATTTTCTTATATAGGACCTGTGTGGAAGAGCTTATAAATAATTTATGAAAACCAATTATGACTTCTGTTTTTAGCTTGATTTTAATAAGTTTAATAAAATAAGTTATTTTCAGTTTATTTCAATAAATTTTATTGTTAAAGTTACAAGTTATTATTTTAAAAAGAGCTTGTTAAATAAAAATTAAATAATTAGTTATTTAAATGCATACTTATTAGAAATGGAAAAATGCCCTTATTGGATTCTTATACCTGTTGGAGCGGATCTATTTCTCAAGTAAAATTAAGAGTGGGGTATTGTTTATAACGAGGTTTAAATAGTCTTTTTCTTTTAAATATAGTCTTTGATTTAGTTCTTATAAAAATTTCATTTGTTTTAAATCTTTAGATTTAATAAAAATGATAAAACTTCAGTTTTTACTGGAAACTAAAAACAAGGTTTTTTTATTTTCAGAAATTGAAGAAAGTATTTTTTTACAAAAATTAAATAAAAAGTATCATATTTCAGGATTTAAAAATTTATCCTATTCTTACTTTATTTTATATAGTTTTTATACGAGATTGTAGTGTTAAATTACTAATAGAATTAACTTTTTTTAATGGTAATGAATCTTTTTAAAAGCAATCTTTTAAGGTTTAGAGATAGTGAACTTTATTATGAAAAAATTAAAATTAATTTATTTTAAATTATGTTCTATTCTAAAATATATTAATCTTCTCTTGCAAAACTTTTTGCCAATGTCCATAAATCGTATTATTCACAAAATTATTCTGGTTAATTAATTTGTTTTACACTTTTATCTGAAAATGTCTTTCACCCTCTAAATGATTCTTCCGATGCATGCAATTTTTAGATTTTTAGTTTTAAATAACTTACATATTTTGTAATTTATCTTTTTTTTACTCTTTCCTAAAACACAGAAGTATAATGTAAAAAGTCTTAAATAATGCAAATTGATGGATTCAGCTTATTGGTGCATTCGCTTATACGTAACATACAAGTTCCTCTAAAATGTTATTTTCTCAAATCTAAATGGGGCTAAAGTTTATTTTATTATTACAATTTGAGAAGAGAGTGTAGGGAGTGTTCCAGAATTTGCAGTTTGGAAGAAGATGCAAAAGTTAATATTAAATTAATTGGTACCAAAGCAAGGCATTGTTGTAGAAATCATTTCAAATTTTCCATTTTCTATATCTAAGCTGGGATCAACAATGATCTCAAATTTCAGAGGACTGTTCTTTCCTTGTTTCAGCAACATTTTCAGAAAAATTAACCAGACACGGTAAAAGTCAAACTTCTTAACAGGAAAATGTTTTTCCTCCAATTGCAAGCTCTTACCCACCTCTAAAGTATTGGCACTCGGAAATTCTTCCCCAGAAAGCCTCAGATTATTAGCAAGCCTTTCTTCGGCATCTTCATCTTTGTATTTATTTCTTGGCCCACAATTTTGGTTAGGCATTTGTTCTTTATAACTTGAATAGACCTTTCCAGCCTTGATGTTCCCAAACAAGATTTCTGCGGCCCTGTTCCTAACGAGAACTGGCAGGTAATCTGATTCATCCCACTCATATAGCTGCCAAAAGGGCAAAAAATGCATTAATAAGCAATGTTTAGGCAAGTCTAAGATTATAGTTTTATAAGAGCATTCAACATGTTAAAAATCAGATGCGTAACAAGATTTTTTTTTCTTATTATCTTGCATCTTAATTACGGAATAAATAGGGGGCAGACATTCAGGTCATTTATACTTCAAAATTTTACGTACTTAAAAGATGCCTCGCAGTTCATCAATTTGGCTATGGATATGGATAGATTATTTGTTTCATTTATCAAAATGATAAATTGAAGGTATATGGAAATGGAATTGTGGATTCCTCATTGACAAGAAGAATACATCTTTCTAGTTTCATGTGAATATAATTAAATGCAGCAAATTAATTAATCCTTGAAGTCAAATAAACGATCAGATAAGATCTCTTGGCTAGGAGAAAGAGAAACAGATGATCAAGGTGAATGAAAACATATATCACCATGAAAGGCCTGTATATCAAGCATACTGAATGAAGTCGGCTTGAACTTTTCGAACAAATCAGTGGAATGGCGCTTTTCTCATGTCTGAAAGGAGGGAAAAAGTATTAGTGACCATAATGGAACATACAATAGGGCCCAAGGAATAATCTAAAGTAATACTTTGAATCTAAGGGTGAACCACATAGCTGACAGCCAGTGCATAAGAAATCATCCACTAATTTTTTATCCTCAGTTCCATGAAATCTCTTGCTAAGGAAAATCTCTTTCATGGCATCAACAGAAGTCCAGGTAGTAAGTAGTGGAACAATTTCACCAATAGATGCACATACTATAGCCTTGCATGATGTTGTTAGCTGAGAAACTTCCATAAGTGAAAAGCAGTCCATAGGCTTTGTCTCTTCATGCAACGTCCAGTTTCTAGGCAGATGCTCTATTTGCTATGCATATCACATTCAGTAGATTCATAAGTATATCTAAGCCAATACAGTATGAATGAAACATATTGATAAGTATTTTTTCTAAGTGAAAATAATCAACTTTATCAATGAAAACCATTATTGTTATGAAAATTTAAACCTGAAATATGAAATATACAAGGTATGATAAGCACAATTATTTGCACATTATGTTTACAAGACAATGAAGAACAACAAAAGAACCAGACAAGTATAAAATATCAAAACAAGGACTTGCAAACTTTTAACATCCAACTTGCCTCAGGACAATCAAGCACAACAAAGGGCATCTGAAATATCAAAAAATAGAAGTACATAAGCACCCAGCACAATCCTCAAATTTAGGACATGAAATGATGTCAAGAAAACAATCGATGCACACAAGCACCCACCACAGTCCTATGAATACACAGCTATGCTATTGTGACTTAATCTTTATACAGAAGAAGTACTAAATCCTAATTTTTTCCTCCAAACTTGTAGAATAACATGATATAAATGCAACGGATGACACCCTCAACCTGAAAGTATGACCACAGCCATTGATGTAGTGTTCTAATGATAATTATTATGGTTTCATGAGGTATTCTCACACCCTTTGAAAGTGAGAAATTATACAGTTGAGGCAACAATTACAGGGAAAAGAGAATACTTGATTGGACTGCAACTTGATGTTGCAAATGGTGGATCGAGACTGTTGCACCCACTTTATGACCCTCCTAAGCTTGTCCTTTGTTATCGTCCCAATACGGCAACCTATTATCAACTCTTCCACAGCTGTACAGAAGCATATCATAAAAGTTGAAATTTAAACAGCATAGAGTAACTACCTTAATTCACATTTAATAATTCTTTTTACACGATGACATAGTATTTGTTAGGTTATCCCCATTAGTAATTTAGTTAAAATAGGTTATGTAATTACCCATTAGTTAGTTGGGTTAGTAGTTTGAATAAAACATGTTGCCTGTAAATAAGAGGGTAGGTTAAGAGAGGAATGGCTTGTCAATTGGAGAAAGGATTGTACTCTTCGAGAGCAATGAGAGTCTAGGTTCTCTCGAATAGTTTGAGATTTTCAGTCATTCAATAAAAAAGTTTTTTCTTTTTTCTTTCTCTTTTACTGATCCAGTTTCTATAAGTAACTCACATCAGCATGGGAGTGTAGAGAGTTCTAGCAGAACCAGCTGCAATTAATTGGTAAAAACTGTGCACAAATCACATCTACGGTAACAGCTGTGTAACTATGTGCAGGTAGCATTATTCAATAACACATGAGAACACATTTCTATAGACAACTCCAAGTTAAAATGAAAAAGATAATAAATAATTAAATTATTATTTTTCTAATATAATGATCAATGATACACAATGAGAAAGTAAATTATAATATTTGATATTATTAGTATATTGGATCCTGCAATTCTTAACAAAAATGTACTATATATAAATTTTTTTAGTATGTATCATTGGGCAGCTCAGAAAACCAGTTAAACTTAAACGACACTATAATTTAACTATTTACCCATTAAACAACATAAGTACGGAACAGACCCTTCGAGACGAGTGATTCATAAGGGTGAACCAAGCAAAGCAGCGAAGACCACTGCAGGGTTCTGGCCTCAACAACATCACCATATTTCGCAATCTTGAAGTCTGCCACGTGTCAAAGAATCGTTAACGCCGTCTAATCAAAAGCCATAAGTTTCGAAACGGAAAGCATATCATATTGTACTTACTCTGTAACAAAACGACGTCTCCTGCTGCCACCATGGACCCCATGTGCTTCTGCCATAGAGAGACTACGAAATACGGCATCGTATCATCGCCGACTTGAATGTGGGTTCGGGTAAGGTCTCGTGCGCGTTTTGAAGAATGAGAAACCTGAACGGAGAAGGAACGGTGAACGAAAACGAGAAGCTGAACGAAATCGCCGATGTGAGAAGAGGCTGTGGAGAGGTCTATGAGAGGACCGTACCATCCAAAAGGTGAACCCATTTTTATCTTGTTCAGAAGTGCCCTAATACTACCACTATTTATTCTTTCCTCTCTTTTGGGGGGAAGGGGGAGTGTTTAACTTCTGGGTTTTGCTCTTCTTTGTTGCTCATCAGCACGAGTTTCGATCCATCGTCATACCTTACTACACAGGATAAATAGTTTTATACGATAAAAAGTTATCGCATTTTAATGCATTAAATTATATTAAATTCTACATTTTTTAATAAAAATTTACAAGTTTGGAAAGTCCTTATTTAATTTATATATTCTTTTTTTATATTGTCATATATATAAATAAAAGTTGTATTGTTTTAAAATATTAATAAGGGAGATTTAAGCATATTGTTAAAACTAAGAATATTGACAAAGGATTACAATAGTTAATGTTCTTATTTTAATAATAATGAATTAATGTGTGTAGTTTTAGAATAGGTTTCTTGTTTAAGATAAAATAATGCTTTGGATCACTTCACAAAATATTTAAATACATAAAAAAATATTAAAATCGCTTCAAGGGTCTACTGACGTGAAGGGTTTTTGTTCGTCTCAGGTAGTTGTTGACTAGATGACAAGTTGACAACAAAAGAATATTTGATCGATGAAGAGACAAATATTACTTAAAAATTAATTGACAAAGAGTTTGAAGAAAGAACCAGGCAATAATGAAAAAAAATATTTCCTTGTTTTTGGCATAAAATAAAAATTAACCCTGAATGTGACAGAATAACAGTTAGGGGCAACAGTGAACAATAATAAACTCCAGCAACTGTATAAAGCATGAAAGATTATTCAATTTCAAAGTTTACCAAGTCAGAAATTAACATACAAAAATGTTTCAGAAACCAAATAACTAGTACAAGTGGCCACCCAAAATCAAAAACTTTATTGGGCTGCAGTCAAGCCGAGCAAGAACCAAATACGTGCACATACTAAGTAGATGGAACGGGCCAACAAAAACAAGCGCCAATTCCAGTAAGAAGCTTCTGTTAGAAACAGGCACCTTGGCCGAAGCTATAACAGAACCTCCACCTTTTATCTACACACCTACTTCCGAATTTTAGTTTTAAACATGTTCATAGAACATTAGCAAATTTTGAAATTGTAGTTTCCCCACCTATGTTGAACTATACACTATTCTACAATGGAGCTAAGTCCATTTCATTAAAACTTAAAACTGATAGATTCATCCAAACTGGATCTGCCACTTCAGAACTACCAACTTACCCAAAATAGGAGCTCATGTACAGCCTTACTCCGATATCAAGGGGGCCATCATCACCGCCAACAGCGTGAAGTGCAACAGGAATTGTTGAAAGAAGACCTACTGTGAGAGGAAAAACTGCAGGATCAATTTCAGTCTCTGATCTAGAAATGGGCTCCTTGACCGTGGAAGATATACTATCATCCATGGTTACATTCAGATTATATGGACATGTAAGCAATGCAACTTCTTCAACTGTCCTGCACTTGTTAGGGCCTCCCCTCCTAAATGCACGCTTAGCACATGTGCTAAGCACCAAAGTGGATGTTGTCTCAAGCCACTCCACAGTCAAGCCTTCAACATCATCGTAATATATGCGACGCTCAATCTGAATAGGAAAAAGGCATAAAAGAATCATAAGAATAGCATGAAGCATTTCTAACAGAATAGGTCCAAATTTCACAAGTTAAATCAAGAAAAAACTCTTTTTAAGTCTTCATATTTCAAACAATTTTTTTTTATGAAGTGCACAGAAAAATTCAGAATACGCAAATTCTGTCTCCAAGATGCAAACCACCACTGCAACAAACTACATCATTATATTTTATTATGAATCATGTCCATAGACAAACTATTCAGTTAATACCCAGCCTCTTAAAAGGATAAATTTCCAAAAATATATTATCATTGGCTACAAAAGGTGTGATTACCTTTGACAATCATCAACAGGAAATACCTATATAGTCAATTTCTTATTTGAGTGATATGTAAAAGCTATTCCACATAAAAAGAAGAAGAAAAGCATATTAATTTAAGAGACACTTATGCCCCCTACTCTATGTGTAAACTTGCACTGCATATTGTTAGAAGCTACTTACAGCTAGCTTTTGAACATATATTGACATGAATCTTGGGCCAAGTCCCAGTATTCTTGCTTCTGACAATAAGACCTGCAGAATGGATGACAGAAGTTAAGTGCAAAGGAATACATATGAGAATCAAACCTAGGCTTGAAACATGACAAGAAGAACAAAAGGCATTCCAACAAGCTATAAAGAGGTTACAATGTCAACAGAAGTAAATTTCATTCACCAAGACATTAAGAACATGATTAAAAAAGCAATACCTCCTTCTTCTTCAGGAGAAACCAAATGTAAAGTCTATCACAGGCATCCTTAACATTTCTACTAGCTAGCTTTCTCTCATTGCAATAAGCAGCAATATCTGCAAGTGTTTCAGCACTAGGAACACTATGCTTCACAGCTGCAGCTGATAGTGCTTCCTTACCTTCCATGGATTCAGCAGCAGTTTTATCAAAATTGATGCCTGTGAAACATCTTTTTTCCATTTCGTTGTAATCCTGCAAAACCTTCTGATGCTTCAAATATAATTTCTCAGCCTCTATAACAGCAAGTAGTGTCCGATGAACAACAATATCTGGATAACGACGCAGAGGTGATGTAAAATGAGTGTAAAATGGGACAGCCAATGCATAATGACCCCATTCATGCTCATTGTCCTTTAAATCTCCACTACAGAAGTAAGATGCCAACTGCATTGGCCTTGTAGCATACGAAATAAGTATATCATAAAGCACAGGATCACCCTTGAGCTTTTCCCTGATCTGCTCTAATGACCAATGGAACTGACCAGATGAAGATGTGTCCAATTCTAAACCATGCTTCTGACAAAATGCTATAAACTCTCTCAGCTTCCGCATATTAGGTTCAGGATGCCTCCGCAACAATGCGCCATCAGGATAAGCTCTACATATGACTTCAGCTGCAGTTCTATTGGCCAAAAGCATATATTCTTCAACAAGAAAGTTTGATTCTTTCCGTTCAGAAAGCATACTATCATAAGGAATTCCATTTTCATCAAACAAAATAACAACTTTGGGGTTTTCAAGACCCAGAGCCCCATCAGTAAACCTTTTGCTTTTCAAGACATTTGAAATTTCATAAAGACCCTTCAAAGATGTAATAATATCCGGCCATCCAAAATGGCCATGCACTTTAGGAAAGCCATCTTCAAAAAAGTTTGAACTTTCAAAATCAAAAGCCCTGTCAATGATGTCCTGGACACGTTCATATGAAAGCTTACAGCAAGAATGCATTACTGTACGACCAATCCAACGGTCTACAACATCCCCCGCAAGATTTATATCTAGTAGCATGGAAACTGCAAGTCGATCCACGCCAGGACGAAGTGAACCAATATTCTCTGACAATAATGCAGGCAACATAGGTAACTTTTTTTGCAACATATAGACACTTGCTGACCTAAAATGAGCCTCGCTATCTAAGGCTGTATCAGGTAAAACAAAGTATGATACATCAGCAATATGGACACCTACTCTATAATTTCCATTAGGTAACTTCTCAATTGACAGTGCATCATCCAGATCAGTGGCAGGTGAAGGATCAATAGTAAATATACATAAATTTCTAAGATCTATTCTACTTTGAATTTCCTTCTGTGGTACCTCCCAAGAAACATCAGGCAGATAGGACAGAGGTTCAGGGGAAAATTCAGATGAACAGATTGCATTCTGAAACAAAATTGCATCTAATTGGGGTTGAACTTCACCACCTCGTCCAAAAACATGCAAGATATGAGCCTCAGGAAAAGGATTATCTTCAACCCAATCATCAATATGTGCAGCTACCAGATCCATTCCAACTGTCACATCACCACTTTTCAGCCTTTTCTTAATATACTTTGGTAACTTTCTAACAAGAAGCATCAGATTTGGAAACTTTGGATTAGTTGGTGTCAGTTGGATATATTCATGCTCAGAAACCAAATTCTTATTTTTCTTTGCATCCTTATTATTTATGTCCCTGAAAGAAACCCACTGCTTCACATTCAGATGACCAACAATACCCTCTCGATGTGGAGACCTCTCAATAATAGCAACCACCCTGGCAGTCGGTCTTTTGTAAGGGAAAGAATTAACCAACGAACACATGTTTTCCACTGCACTAACTACTTCACTCTGTCCACCACAAGAATTGATCTTTAAGGAATCAGGAGCAGCACAGAGATTTCCATCAATGCTGTCATGGCTGGCCATTCCAAGTAGATCTAAATGGTTTGTTGAACCCTGAGTATTATCCCCAGAAACAATTCTTCTTTCAGGAAAAGGATAACTTCTACAGGAGTTGGAGTTTTGATCAATATCCTCCTTGTTTTGACCAGGAGAGCTTCTGCAATGGGCAGACTCATAATCAGCATCTAGCTTACCTTTCCCTTTACAAATATTACCACTCACTTCATTATCCTCAGTAAGAAGGTTGCAACCTTCCAGTGTAGCAGTATTGTTACAATTCCCGTTTGGTCCTTTCATTTTTGTCCACAATGAAAAGGGATCAATCTTAATTGCAACAATATCACCTTCCACCTACACAGAACAATCATTAGATGTGCACCCAAACACTAGGTACATGGCACAATGAGGCACATTTCAGTTATGTATCAACTATGTAAGGAAGCATTGCATCTCTATCTAAAATTCATGCCAATCAGAAATAAAATTTTCATTGTAGAAGACAGATGAGTGAAAAACTCAGCACCACCACTGTGCACCATGCGTGTGAAAAATTATAACAGCTAAATAGCTCAGAGAATTTGTTCTGATCCCCCACCCCACCCCACAAACCAATACACACTCGCATGCAAAAAAAAAAAAAAAAACAGAGATCAACATAACCAGGCACATGCAAGGTTGATAATTACATCTATAGATTCTATACATGCATATGTAATATATGAGAATCAGAAGATCTCAATGAATGGACATGAAACATAATGCGCAAATGACCCTGATAAAAGCCACATAAGCCATCACAATGATTTGTATATGATTCACAGACAACAAAAACTAATTAAAACTCAAGTGTATGTATGTGTGTGTGTGTGTGTGTGTGTGTGTGTATATATATTTATATATATGTATAATGACATCTATACTTACAGCTCTATTTTGGGCTGGAATCCCACCAACGAGAACATCAATTGGCAATCCATCAATTTTACAGTATGCCTACATATACGTACACGGGAAAATATTAACCATCATAATAATACAGTAGATGCACCAGGGAACAACAAACTAATTCAAGTTCCCCCACACACCCCACACCCCCCAACACACTGAAAAAAGGGGGAAAAAGAAACTAAATTGACTGTAAGATAGATGTTAGAAAAAACCTCAAGTCTATTGTGAGCATTGACATGAAAGAGAGCTTTAAAAACATTGCCCTTCTGCAAGCCAAAAGAAATTAACCCCATGTTATTCCATAGCAATGGTATCAACTTTACACTGTCAGCATGTGTGCAAATCACCACATCACTAACCTCTAATGCCTTCTCGACAGCCTCTACAGACCAGTGTGGACTAAAATAATTTCTCTGGGCACAAAACCCAATTTGACTGCAAGGGACAGAGTCCTTGTTTCTATTAGTTCCTGATGACCCTCGGCAACCAGTGGGCTCAGAAACCGATTTTGAATCAATTCCTCCACCAGAGATTTGTATGTTTTGCAAACCACCGGTTTCCCCTTGCTCATTGATATGCATGGGGGGCATTGAAACAAAAGCAACATTTGATGCTTTGGATAATCCTTGCTCATTAGGAGAACAAATATTGACCTGCTTCAGTGAACTGCTCAAGGATGTAGTTGTATTAGTAGCTATTCCGATTTTCTCCAAACTTTCCGACAACACCTCATGGGCCTCATTCACTTCAGATGCTATCATAACGAAAGAACAACAATCACTAAAGAGAAAACTGAACAGACATTGTTTTCAGCATTAATAGCATAAAAAAAAAAGGAAAAGAAAACAATTTTTCAAAATATCTCACCTATATGACAAAAAAAAAAAAAACAGAACGAAAGAGTTTATCATAGTGGCAGGTAAACTGAACCACCGCGGTACATTTTGCATTGAGTGAATAATTTCAGAACCCTATACTACAAAACGAAACAGTTACAAACAACAGACTCACAAAAAAAAAAAAAAAACCTAGAAACACTGGGAAAGAAAAGCGATCTGTGTTACTATAAATAGCAATGGCACACAGCAGCAACCTCAACAAACACAAACCCATGTTCTCTTAATCCTCAAAGACCACAGAATTGACATTGTAATAAAAAAATTGAACCTTTTATTCTGGGTAGGAAGCGAAAATCTTTCATTATGATTAACAACATAATAATCAAAAGAAAAATTGTAATTGCAATAATACCCGAAGGAGAGGGAGGGTTTTGCTTGGATCGACGATTGGATCGGCGTTTCTTCTTCTTCTCCTTTTCCCCATCATCAAACCTCTCAGCCATGGATCCTTCAACCGTGGCTTTCATATTTATCCGAAGAAAAAAATCAGAAATATTTTTTTCCAAATAAAAATAGGCCTTAACAGCAAAATTCAAGAACGAGAAGAGAAATGAATAAAGAAGAAAGAAAGGAAAAGAAAAAAAAAAAACAAGTTAGAAGGAAGAAATCTTCCGTGTTTTTAAAAAAAATATAATTCTGAAGAATCAAGGAAAGAAAAGTATGAAAATGGAACGAAAAAGGGATAGGGTTTAAGAATAAGAAGATGGTTGAATAGTGCGTAGAGAGGGAAGGGTTAAACGACAAGAGTAGAAGGAGAAGGAGGTGGGTATGATGAGGTTGAAAACGACGTTCTGATTGGTCGGCGGGGACATGGGGCGCCGACTCTCCTTTCCTTTCTCTCTCACTCTTTTTCTTCCCAATTCTTCTCCACTTCTTTCTCTCTCTTTTCTTTCTCACTCCACTTCAATCTCATAATATACCTTTTTCTCTCTTTTTTTCTTTTAATTGATGTTTTTTTAAAATAATTTTCCTAACCTGTCTCCCGTTGCATGTTGATCTCTTCAATATATAGTCAAGGAATATGATACAAAATTAGTACATAACAAATTTTATTAAATTTCTTTAAATAATAAAAATTAATAATTAATAAATTTTATCACAAATTATAATACTTAATAGTATTAATATACGGAATTAAATTAAATTTTATATTTTAAAACATATTATTTTCTTTTTCTTCCCTCAAGAATAGGGAGTGCAATAGAAATAAAATGCGTTTTAATTATTACTCATTTAATTAATGCAAGTATGGTATAGTGGCCAGCTGTAAGAAAAACTCGTCATGCGGTAAGGTACTGATCAACGTGTAATGTCTTGTCCGGAGTGGGTTATACGTTTTAATTAGGTATAGTTATAGTTATAGTTTTATGTTTCTTTGGGTGAGAAAACAAATAGAGGAAAAAATTATGAACGATAATAATGTATATTTACATTCGATGGGAGAAAATAAAAATATTCTAAAAGTGTGATAGATTATTAATTTGAATAAATATGTAAAAAAATTAATAAACAAAATTATTTTTGATATATTTTACATATTTTATATTTTTATTTAGATATTTTTAATTAATTTATATAAAAAAATGATATGTCACATATTTATTATATTTTTTAATTATTAAATAAATTATTTTGATAAAACTTAATTTCATAAGTTAATAAGTGACAAAATTCAAATTAGAAAAGTTAGAATTATATACAAATTGAAGTATAAAAGCTAAAATATAAATTAATTATTTTATTTAATTTTAATACTGAAGCAAAATTTTATCTTTAACTTATTTTTTATAAAAATTTACTTTGTCAAAAAGCAATATTGTTAATGTTTTAACATAAAATATTTCTTTTAAATATTTAAATATCTTTAAACTTTCATAAATTAAATAATAGAAATGTAAGTTTAACTTTTTTTTCAGTTCTTTCAGTCATAAAAATAAAAATATATACTTTATCTACCTTCTTTTGCTATAATTTACATTATAAATTAAAATATAAATTAAGTTTATTATATAATTTGTATGTATATTATCTAAAATTTAATATCTACTTATATTTTAAAAATGTATTATATGGTAAATAATGTAATGTGATAAAATATTTTATTATTTTATTTTATTTTCATGAAATCTAATATCCTACAAAATGTTATTAACATGTTATTAAATAGTGCATGCATGAAAGTTTAACATTTGATGTCTACAAATTTAAGGACTTAAATATTTTTTTATTTTTACAATTTTTTTAAATTTTAATTTTAATCACTCAACTTTTTTTAGTTAACTATGTTGTTATTTGATAGTTGATACAGATAAAAAGTGCTAAATTTTAAAAACTAAGGATAACCTATTTGGTGATATTTTAAGAAGTCTATATTCCTTTTTTATTCCTTTTTGTTTTGACAATAACAATCTATTTAGTGATATTTTTGATGTTATAAATCATAACTTTTTGTTTAAAGTGATCTATTTATGAATATTGGATGATGAAAATTTTGGTATTCATGGTATCTATTTATGATAAATTTGATTTTGAATATTATTTTGGTCTTAATAGTTTATAGTTGTCTAATAAACAATTAAATTGAATTGTGAATAGAGAATTAAATTTTAGATCATAAAAATAGATAATGTAAGTTTAGCTTATCTAAATTATAGGTGAGTTAGTTAGTAGAATAGAATTATACCTATTTTGGCTTGCCTAGTATTTTAAGAATTTAAACCTAATATTTGTGATGTGCTCTAAGATTTATGAGAACATAATGTTTGAGGCAAAGAATATAGGTTTAATTAATCAATGTTCTTATGATAAACTTTATTCATAAATATTTAATTTTACAAAATTTTATACATACCCAATTAAAATAAAAGGTGAAGATTAAATTTTAACCTAAAATATTCAATTAATTATCTTAGAGTTTATGTTTAATTAGGTAATAGGTTTAGTAATTGAAATTTTATTAGAAAGTCAATTCATGAATGAACAATGTTTTTACTTGTTTAGTATTCTTTGCACAACTTTTTTTTCATTCTTTAATGATAAGTCTGTATTTTGTCAAGTTTTTATAGATTATATTTTTATGAGTGACCATTATTTTATTAGGTTGTTACACTAATTTTTATAATTATTAAGCAATTTAATGCAAGAAGGCTACAACTAGGTTTTGGGTGCATTTTAAACTCAAATTAGATGAAAAAATAGATTTCACAGCAACTAGCACACCTAAACCTTTGCATCTAGCACGGGGTGCTTTGAGAACATGCAAAGAGACTTTTTTTTATCCTTTTGATATTTTTAATACCTCACATCTTCAATCTTAGTGTTAGCTCATTGCTAACGACTATAGGAGTTTTGGAAGCATATTTTGGGATCAAAAACTATCTTCATCTTTTCTCTATTGCAGATTCCTCTAGTTTGTATTTACTTTTCAATTACTAAAGATTTGTTTAGTATTTTTTTTATTTTCTTTTATATTATGTATAGCTAAATCCATAGCTCAGGTTATGGTGGATTCCTTGCATGACTCTATAGAATTTTTATTATTTATGATAGTTTTGTGTTTTCATTTTTTATTGGTATTTATCCTATTGTGCTATATTTATATGTCAAAATTAATAATTCTTGAATATACCATAATTAATTATATTGTAGGCGATCATACTATTATAGTTAATGAATCTATAGAATAAAACAAGACAAAAGATTAGGTAGACCAAGCTTAGTTCTTCTTTTTTAATCATTATTAAATTAACAACTCATAGGCTCTTTATACTTTCTCTTCCTTTTACCTTGCATGATCATTAGAGGTGATAGTTTAGAGAAAAAAAAAGTATTAACATTGTAATATCATTGGATGTTAATAGAATTAGTATAAGTGGTTAGTAATTGATCGCGAGTGTCGCTTTCGAACAAATTAATAAAAACCGAATTGCATAAAAATTATGTAGTAAATAGTGCAATCCGAATCATCTCCCAACGATGATAACGTTATACGATTATAAAATTTTTAGAGGGGGTTTGATTTATAGAATAACTAATTAGAATTAAAAGTTAAAAATAATTAAAAACTCTAATCCAAGAATTTAGAAGAACTACGACCACTCTATCACTAGATTCCAAGAAGATGCATCAAACAACAAATTAGTGATTAACATTAAATTCAAATGAAACCTCAATTCAAATTAAGCATTCACACAAGAACCCTCATGCATTCGATTAACACACAATTTGCTCAAAGTTCAGAAACCTCTAAAACCTAATCGATTTGTATTAATTTAATTCACCAATGCCATTAATCTTAGATCTCAAACCTGAAAATCTAATTCACACTCCTTCAAGAATTAATTACATGCATCAACCGAATAATATGTAATCAAACAACTGCACAATTATCAATCCAAACGAAAAACTTCAATTCAAAATCATAATTAGCAAGAGGAGAAAGAAAGAAGAGATGAAACCGAATTTGTTGTTGAATAAATTGCGAAACCAATCCTCAAGAGTGTCATGTCCCTTTTAATCCTTGAATTAGATGAAAATCTAAGCCTCCATGGATGGAGGGAAACAAGTCGTAAAAGGGGAGAAAAAAAAACAAAAACAGAGAAGAGAGGAGAGGAGCCAAAAAATTAAAATTCCAAATTCAAAATTTCGTTTGTTACTTTGTTCTATTTTTTGGGCTATGAAAACGGCCTCTTTTTGGTTCATGGCCTGAAAGAAAATTGTAGCCTTGGATGTTAGCTTCAAAACGCCACTAGAATGAGCTTAATCGGATGTCTGTGGACTGAGATATGGCCCAAATACTGCACCTTGCTTAGGATTCACGAGCAGCGTTTCAACTTTTTTCAGACCCAGTTTCAGCTTCTTATCATCAGAATTGGTTTCTGACCTCTTATAGGAATTGTGCACCTTTCTCTTAGCTTTCCTGCAAATCAAGAATCACAATAAAAAGAGTTCTACAACTCAAGATATGGTCTAGAAACCAAAACAGTATCAGAATTTGCCAAATACTAGAAAAATTAAATAAAGCCCAAATAAAATTCAAACATCATAAAATGATCCAATTCAACCAATTAGATATAAAAAAGGATTAATGAGCTAGGAATTAGAGAAAATAATGTTATAAAAATCCAATTGATCAAATTCCCCCACACTTAGCTCTTGCATGTCCTCATGTAAGACACAATCAAGCAAATAAAAACATGTAACCTAAAAAATCATAGAATAATCAAAATAAATAAATTCTACAATGAATCCTTAGAAGTGCTGAACTTAGGGACACAAGATCAAATAAAGCATCAAGAGTTCTACAACAATCAAACATCCAACTCCCAACCTCTAAAAAATGCAAGCCAAGCAATATCATTCAAAGTATATAGATCAAGCATGAAAGATCTCACAAGATGGTGTATACAACTCAACTCTCAAGTGTATGGTTCAAAGTGTTTCACTCAAGTCACCTCAAAAGACAATGCATTACCATAAGCTTGTTAATCTTCTACTTCTCCACTACTTACAATCATATGTAAACACAAATCAAGAAGACTTTATTCAATGGTTGTAATGAGGCTAAGGTAAGGGTAGGGAAATATGAAGATATGACAAGATACAACAAAAGAGAATAGGAATAACATTGGTCTTTAGACAAATCAAGTCATAACATATATTTATTCTCCTTGGACTTCATTTTCCCTTCATCAAAATTTTCCATTTTCTTTGTAATAATTTTTTTTATTATTTTTTTCTTCTTTTTTTTTTCTTTCTTCCCCCCCCCCCCTTTTTTTCTTCTTGCATTCTTTCCAAACTTGAAATGCAATAACATTAATGAAACCAATGCACTCCCTATTCCCTAAGGTTAGGTATAACATGGTTTTTCACTTAAAGTTTATAATGT